ATTGAATACAATAGGAGAATTCGACCAAACACTACATTAGAATTGAGTTTTAATTTGAGATGTAAAGGTGATCACTTGGTGAAGTTATTCTACCCTAATCCATTCATTATTTGATTCTCCAACCAGTCGTGTAAACATTCATTTATTTTCTAGAATTTAGATTAAAACCCAGATTTTACAACCTTTAATTTGTTTTAGTCAAATAGTAGTTAAAAAAAATTGAATTAAGTACTAGAAAATAGTCCTTGTGGAATCGACAATTCGGACTCTTAGGTCCACTATTACTTGTTACGGGTCATACACTTGCGAAACAAAATTTTACAACATTGACCCTTTGCCGTATCGTACTACAGGATTGACAAAATAGAAATGAGGGCTTTGTGCCTACCGTTAATTGAAGAAGTGATTCGATTCTAACTACTTTAAGCTCCATTTTTTAGAAGTAATGGAGTGAAAAAGAAGAAAATAGATAAAAGAAAAACTCATTTCCGGTGAATTTTTGGTTGACTACAATGTTTTTACTTCACATTATTTGGTCGATGTCAAAATTTGCTAGAATCTTTGAAGATCTATATCATCAACAATCACAGCATCCCATATTAGTTTTGATTTGCCACTATCTTAACATGTACTCCTTGGATAAGCCTCTTCAAAGTTATGCAAAACATGCATGACTATCTAATTATTCTGTCCTTAATTTATCTTTAGTTTATTCTTATGTCGTATGTTATCAATTTTAAAATGCCTTACGTTTTTTTTAGAATTCTCATATGTTATTCTGATCTAGTTGAACATATCAAATAGGGAAATGTTATATGTACACCATAATGAGTTACACCCCCCTCACATGAAGGGGGGCCCACGAATGTTTTATTATAAGTGGGCCCCCCTCCATGTGAGCGGGGTGTAATGCGTACACATAGTATTTCCCTATCAAATATAACTTAAAACTGCAATCTTAATCCGGCCGATACGAACGAGTATAGACAAATGGTATACTGTTTACTTGTTCGGCCGAGGAAAATAACAAACAATTTGATAACCTAATCAAAGGATTCTTGTGATGTGAAGTTTAATAATATACAATGTACTAAACAAAGATTTTGAGATTCTTATCAACTTAGGAATAGGAGAGAGGAATAGAAAAGGAGAATCAAAACTGCGCCTCAAAAAAAAGTTAATTCTTTAGCAAAGAATCAGATGTGACTAGAAAAGTTGAAAAATATATATATAATTGAGAGTTTATAGAAGGAAACGGAGAATTTGAGTTCTAAAACAAGAAACTATCTGTAAACATATTAAAGTGAGGATCAAATAATTCTAGAGATCCTTTTTTTTTTTTTTTTTTTCAAAAACTGCACTCTAATAAAAGATTTCTGTGAATTAATTTAAAAAAGAGTTCTGAGGTGTCATTCTGTGAATTAATTTAAAAAAGAGTTCTGAGGTGTCACTCTCAATATGAGAAGGGAATAAAGATTGATAAGTGTGTTTGTTTTATAAACTTATTCGAACAGCAAAACATGATTAAATTGTGATAATTAGAGTTGGAATGTGGTTTAAGTCTACGTAATTTTGTTTCATAGGTTATATTGATGGATGTTGTGAAATTCAAAAGAAAAGACGTGAAAAGGGACTAGAAACGAAGCAAAGTGAGAGTTCAGAGACCAAAGCGTAAATATTCAAAAGATGAACCGAAGGGGGAGTCGAGCAATTGATTGAGCTAAGTACCAATCGGATGGCATAATAGAGTGATGGAATGACAAGAAACAAGAAATTAGGTCAAAATGAGAGAAAATAAAGTTCGAGGACCAAAAAGAGAAAAAGTGAAAGATTGTACTACTATGCGGTCGAAAAGTAGTACTAGCCATGCGGTCGCATGACCCATGGCAAGGAATTCAGTGGCCCATTTTTGCTTAACTATGCGGTTGCATACGTTAAAGCTATGTGGCCGCATAGTTCATTTTATGGGCAAAATTTATGGTTTCTTGTTTGTGATGAAATTCTTTTGAAACTCATACGGGACACGACATATGAACCCTAAAATCGTCAAAAATAGCATAAAACGTTTGGGGAACATCTTGGAGCGAATTTGAAGCGACAACAACAAAAGATTTCACGAAGATCGACGGAATTTCACACAATAATCTGATCCGGTGATATTATTTATTCCAAATATCATGTATTCAGTAATTTTCTCCATGTTAGGCTAGGTTTTCTTATGTTAGGAGATCGATGAACTTTGTGATGTGATATTTAATTCTTTATTATTCCATGATTTTGACATTAAAATACGTTTTGATTATTTTGAATGGTTTATATACACTTATTTCCTCCACAATTATTGTGCACGTAATTTGTGTGAGTTTGGTGACTTGTTCTTGTGTTCGAGAGAAGTGGAATAGGCTCGACGTGGTATAAACCATCGTAGGGTCCGATAGGGGATAGAGATATACCACTATATCTTACGTAAATCTTTAAGTGCTCACAAAATTACATGCATTCTTATATATTTGCATCCATCATAGAAATATAGGCTGGTGGTATATGAAAATAAGTTTAACGCTGCTCGATAGAGAGTGTTGGATGGATTTAGGAGCATTGATTTTTCAAAATTCCATTGTCTTGTCAAATTGTGAGATTAAGGTTAAATGGAATATTGCCCGGAAATTCGTGATCCTAGTGCAATTAACATTTATTGAATACAACCAGTTTGCGTTCCAACCAGTGGTTTGCATTCTAGTTCATTAAAACTACATTTTTTCATATTTTGTTCATTCGTATCATAAACAATTGCATAAATTAGGGTTTTTCTTGAAATTAGGGTTCTCTTAGGTTAATCAATTCATAACTCTCCTGTTGATTATTTGGTTTCGGTTAAGGCCAAGTTAGATAAAATTAAACTACTCAATCTCTGCGGGTCGACATTCAGAATCAATTTTTCACTTTGTTACTTGATGCGAACTGTACCCTTGCGGTGGTTTGAATCGAAAGAAAAATTTCGTAAACAAAGATAAGAAAATGCCATTTGTTGAATTTTGGAATTCGATGTTAACATGTCAATCTTAAGAAGAAAAGTAGTCTAAGCCCTTATTTGTTGATCATTTGAGAATATCACTTGTAGAATTTAATTGCTCATATAAATTCTAAACAATTCAATTCTTTGATTGAGCATTTTGAACTCTAATTTCATATAATGAATCTTAATTTTTTCTTAAAAAGTCAATAAGGTTAAAAAGATTACCTGAAATTTTTATATTGATTATTGTTTGTATACCGTTAACAATACTAAATCTTTTCCATGAAACTTAATCATATTACAAAAAAATTTACTGGAACATTGCCAAATGGAGAAGGGAAAAAGGTGTAAAGAAAGAAGATAGACATGGATCATTTAAGCATACCATGTGGCAATCATTATTTAAAAGCAATTCTCCTTTCTTTGTCATTCCATCTCCTCTACCTTATTTGGTCCTCATTCATATTTACTCTGTTGGTATATATTTCCCTATTAGATTCTCCTCCAACCAAATCCCACTATAAAATATGATGATATTAAATGAAAGAATATTGAGGAAAAAAAAAGTGGAAAACAAATTATGATGATATTATATATGAATTAGATTTTCCTGGAAAGTCAATATTTTGTCTTTTTTGAGTATCAAGAAAGAGATTTACATAATTTATGAGTTGTGTGAGTGTGTGTGTATTATTATTATTTTTTTTTTTTTTTTGCATGAATAGAAAAAACACATTTAGAAATGATTTTTTAGATTAAAAAAAAAATCGTAAGAGAAATAATAGTGAGTTCACGAATTATTAATAGTATAAATGTGTGGATGAATTTAGTAGTTGACTTTGATTCAGCATATAAATCATTTATGATCCAGTTTCCAAATGGAGTGAACTTGTAAACAAATAGACATTGTTTGAGGTTGTTTGATGTCACACTTACCTTGTATAGGTTCCATATTAGTTGCGTGTTAATGTGGGTTTGAGAATTTTTCTAAAATGAACCAAAAACATGTAATTCTTCTTATAGAAGCCCTTAATGATTTAATGATACCATGATTTCCTTTTCAAAAAAAACAGCTTAGGATTTTTTTTCAAAAATATACTTAAAATCAAGATTATGGGCAAGTAAAAATTTGTTGCAGAACTTATAGGGATCATTACCTATAGATTAATTAATAAAATTCATAAGTGGGCTGTCCCATCTTGAATATGTGCCTTTTAAAGATTTATGAGTTTTATACATTTCCTCCAACAATTAACTGTCCAAAAAGGGAATAATGATAATGTTGTTATATCAATGCTTTTTTTTGCAGCAAAATTTTCTTTCCAACTATTGTCTCTTTTTGGGATAAATTCTGTTTCTTCTGGAAACAATTATATTTTAGAGTATAAAAACTTCGGG